GTGCGCCCAAGCTGCGCACCATCGTCAAGATGGGCGCCCTGACCAAGGAGGAAGAGGAGCGCGTTGCTAGCATGGACGTTCAGCTCCTGTGTTTGGCTGACCTGGAGACGCAAGGCAGTGCAGCACTCCAGGACGACATCCCGCCCGAACCTTCTGACCTCTGCACAATCTGCTACACGAGTGGCACCACTGGGCTACCCAAGGGCGCCATGCTTTCTCACGGCAATATTATCGCCGATATTTCTGGTCTGGTTTTCCTTACGCAGAATGTTGTCAACTGGGGAAATTCGACAGTGCATCTTTCGTACCTACCGCTGGCTCATATGTTTGAAAGAGGTGCCCAAGCCGTTGTGTTTGCCTATGGTGGTCGAATCGGGTTCTTCCAAGGCGATATCAAACTGCTTATGGAAGATCTTGGTGAGCTCAAGCCGACGCTCTTCCCGTCCGTCCCCCGTCTGCTCAACCGCGTGTATGACAAGGTAATGGATGGGGTTGCGATGTCCTCGCCGATCAAGCGCGCAATCTTCAACCTCGCCATGTCGCGGAAGCGCAGCGAGGTGAGCCGCGGTGTTATTCGCCGGGACAGCATCTGGGACAAGCTCGTCTTCAACAAGATCCAGCAGCGTCTGGGTGGTAACGTGGAGGTGTTGGTGACCGGTGCTGCGCCGATTTCTGACGCTGTTCTAGACTTCCTGCGCTGTGCCATGGGCTGTCCCGTGCTGCAGGGTTACGGCCAGACGGAAAGCTCGGCGGGCGCTACCATCACCATAGTGGGCGACAGCACGACGGGTAACGTGGGACCGCCGCTGTCGTGCAACGAAATCAAGCTGGTCAGCGTGCCGGAGCTCGGCTACCTCGCAGAAGAGGGACGCGGCGAGGTCTGCTTCCGCGGCCACAACATCTTCAAGGGATACTTGAAGGACGAAGCCAAGACTAAGGACACAATAGACGAGGAAGGCTGGCTGCACTCGGGTGACATTGGCCGTTGGAACGACGACGGCACACTGTCCATCATCGACCGCAAGAAGCAGATCTTCAAGCTAGCCCAGGGCGAGTATGTGGCTCCGGAGAAGGTGGAGATGGCATACCAATGCGCGCCGCTCGTCGGCCAGGTCTTCCTGCATGGCGACAGTCTTCAGTCGGCCTGCGTGGCCATCATCGTGCCCGACGAGGTCACACTACCGCGCTGGGCTACCGAGCACCACATCGCCGGCAACATGGAGGAGCTGTGCGAGAACGAGGCCGTGCGCAAGGCCGTTCTCTCGCAACTGACCGAGCTGGGCAAGAAGTCGGGTCTTAAAAGCTTCGAGCAGGCCAAGGCGCTGCACCTGCACCCGAAGCCGTTCACGGTCGAGGAAGAGCTCATGACGCCCACCTTCAAGCTGAAACGGCCGCAGCTCAAGAGCTACTTTAACGACAAGATCGAGGGAATGTATGCTCAACTTGCCTGAGTACAGCACGCGGGCTGCTCCCGTCCATACTAGAATTTTGAACTATATTTGCTAGAAATTCCATACCAGATTACTCATCCGTCTAATTCGTACTCCCCCGCCATGTCCAACTCTTTTATTATACATATCGACTCTTAATTTAATATTCACCACTGCGATTGTGGTGTATGGCTGCTGTGAGGTAAAGAAGGCCTTGTGTATATTTGTGAGATATTGTTACCGGTTTTTCTTCGTTTAGTTCTCTGTCTCCGTGCACATTCTTCTGTTTAGTTTAGTTTGTTCAGCTTTCGCTGTGAACAGTGTCCTGCCCTCCAACATCTCTGGCTTGTAGCCTGATATCGGTCCATAGTTCTGCACTGTATTAGCGAGAGTAAACGAGCAGCAGCTTATGTAACTTACTCTTGGTATTACAAAATAGGGAAGAAGTGGTGACTGCGGTTGCACAACTGTTGCATTGTACATTTACTCGGTTATATCAATGAGCTGCGTTCATTGAGAACACGGGCATGTGTGTGTGTGTGTGTGGTACATGGTGTGTGTGGTGTGTGTATGTATGTGCGCACTCGTGCGGGTGTCCCATATGGGGATTGCATTGTACATTTACTCGGTTATATCAATGAGCTGCGTTCATTGAGAACACGGGCATGTGTGTGTGTGTGTGTGTACATGGTGCACGTGTGTGGTGTGTGTATGTATGTGCGCACTCGTGCGGGTGTCCCATATGGTGCAGGCGCATGATGCGCAGTCGATTTCCAATTGAGATTTATGGATGTATGAACCAGGGAGTACATTTAGTACAATGCAGTACAGGTACTGCTTCCTGATTTGAACCAACAGTGGCAACCGCATACTGACTGGCTTTTGGATAATAATAAACATTATAATTATAGTTTTCACTGCTATCAGGTTCGGCCTCATTTTCTCTGTGCTGCCCTCATGAGTCCACAAAGGACGAAACGGTTCTGTCCGCAGATTGAGTAACGAACGGCATATTATCACATATGGGGAGCCGTAACATTTTTATGGATTGCTACTCCTGGTCCCTGGACCTGGCTGCTGGTGTCAACTTGTCTGCAGTCAAATGCCCATTTCATCATTCATTCACTAGCGCGTCCCACCTACATGTAGAACCTCGACCAGGACGGGTACATAGCCCCAGGGCCAGGCTTGTTTAGTACTTGGTACTACTGCCCTGGTCTGGGGCATGGTCTCGACTCGTGATGTCCCCTGCCCTCCTACAAATGTAGGCTGAGCCAAATGTAGCCCCTCTCACCGGCTCCCTGCCCCCGGCTGATCATGTCACATCATCAGCATCAGTGCTAGTGTCAGCCAGTGACCATACTGTGCATCTAAATCGCGAATGACGGGACCCGAACGCACCAGTAGCACGAGGTCGGGAGGGCACAGGATCACAGCAATTATCATAGGGTAACACCACCACTACTATAGTACAGTACATTGCACATTGTATCAGTGGCAGTGTATTGCTAGTACACGTACAATTATCGACGACCATGGCCTATGGTCTGGACCAACGTCCCCATCTGCATCCACAGCTAGGAACATCGTGCTACTGGTACGTTCGGGTCCCGTCATTCGCGATTTAGGTGGATCTGTTCGCATTTGGGGGGGGGGGGACAATGCTCCAGTTCTAATTTCTTACTTTTACGACGGGGCAGCACCAGTAAAGGTTTTTCAGAACCGCTCACAGAGCGGTTTTTATACGGATAATTTCAGTTCTTTTTCCGTTCCCTCCCCATAGGGTCTGGCGGATTCTGCCGGCAGAAAAATTGGCAGAATTCGGTACTTTTTCTGGTGAGTTTCATGCATGTTTGGTATGTGGATAAAGAAATGGAGCAGAATTCGAGGAATTGCCCGCCATAAGGTTTGTATGATTCTGCCAATTTCACTGCTTTTCGAGCAGAATCCGCCGGTCCCTACCTCCCCACCCCAACCCCGAAGGTAAACATGATGAGCACGCGCGCGATGTACTGTATGTAGCCATGAGACTGCAATAACACACCGATACATACCAGCCCTGCCCACCTCGCTACCCCGCACACAGATACACAAACACGCGGGTGCACACGGCACACGCACGTGGCCACGCACACATACGCACATGCACACGGCACATGCACGTGGCGACGCACACATACGCACATGCACACGACACAAACAGGAAATTCTTCATGTATAATGCCATGCAAAGCAGTGGCCACCGTACTTCAGGAAGTCAGTTGTGAAACAAAATAATTCAACTACAACGTGTAGACAAGCTGACGGCCAAAGCACAACATAGCAAACATGACATTTGCCCAAGGATTGCAGTTTGCAGACCACGCCATGGAAGCAGCGAATACAGAATGTAATATCATACAAAGTGACAAGCAAAGAAGTGGCCACCAGACACCAGAAACTTGCAGAACGTCACATATCCAACAGATAGAGAAGTGAACAGCAATCTGGTACAGCCCACACAAGACAAAGCTGACCTGATACTCGTCCCAGGATCGTAAGTGGCAGATCCTTTTCAATGCATAACATGCAGGTGTACGTTACACGCATGGACAAAATCTGACCGTGTCACCAGCACACAATGTCATCACAAGTATACCCCACAACTTACACACATGCACAGTAGAAGCACAATGAAAGCAATGGAAAAGTACGATGTGGTTGCTGAAGCATCTTCACACTTCAAATTCAGACTTCAATGTGGTCGTCACAGGATGATATACCTGCAAGACACAAGTGATGCAGAAAGAAAGCAGAAGGTCGTGAGGTAGGCTATGAGACACCACAAACGGGTCACCTACATGTATGTTCAGGGCTAGTGCACTCACACGCAGAATTATCATATTCGAGCATTTTCCAAACTGAGAAGTGCAATGAAATCCACTTGCATGCAGAGGGTCAATTTTGCAGTGTGATGCGTAATTCGACACGATCTGCGATGCTGCGTGCGATGCAAACTCGTGCAAAATATCATTCACGGAATGACTGCAAGAGGTCAGCCAGTGATGCAACAACGCCCTGCTGACATGTGTCTCAAAGCTCAATAAGATTAAGAATGCGTTTGTCACCATGGCACTCGCATAGCCGGTACAACTGGTACAAATGTGCAAGCAATTCATGAATCTTTCGTCTCGCCTCCTCAGATAACCACTGCAAGGCTGCGACGACAACCTTCGGCCTGACAAGGTGCTTCCAGACAATCTTCGCACTGGTTGGTACACAGTTCACTATGATGTTTGTATTGTCAGCACACAAGTCATGCATGAGACGCGGGTTGTCGTCAATTGGCAATGGAATGTGGAGTATTTTGTTCTTGGCACCTCACTCGCTTTGAATGCGGTCGACTGCCATGCTTCGTGTCTAGCTTGTAACATGTCTAGAAGGGTTCCACTTTTTGAATGAGTAATTTTTCGAATGAGTTTAGTCGCGACAAGCACTGGGGTACAGGGTCAAGGTGCAAGTCATTGAGAACGCAAGATGGCGGCATGCTGTCTTTCTTCACGTACAGTTTGCAAACCCTGCAAATGAACATGGCGTCTATAGTGTAGTGTGCGACTGTACACCATTTAAAACTATTGGCAAGATATACACACACCTTAAACGTAACGAACTACAAGAATAGAGTGAGTACAATGCGCTGTCGACCTGATAACGTGTTGGAAGATAACAGGTCTACCGTCCCACCTAACCGTACCCTTCATCATTCCTCATTCACCATCACGCGATACCATGGCACACACTGGCAACATATCAAGGGATGCCTTACCGTCGTCTAGAGGGGACGTCTTCGCAGCAATGTTTTTCGTCCTGCGCATTCAGTCCGCCGACGCGACAGAGTATACGGGGCCGTTCCAGTTGCAGAAGACATTTGATTCATCGGGCCAGTGCAGCAACAGGGTCGTGGGCACACAGGGGCAGAGGAAAGACATTGTGAGTGGACAATAAATATGCAGTGGCAAGTGCTATGAATGTCAAGTTCTCATTTCTAATTTCTAATTGAGCTATTACTTACAGTCCTGCCATTGCTCGCTCGTCCTGATTCCTCCTCGTTCGTCTGCGCCCACTTCTGCCGTTCTCCTCCCCGTCACGGCGTCAGGTCAGTGCATTCTCATTAATTTCTCAATGGCACTTTTCGGGACGGGGGTACCGGAAGGAGTTCGCACGATGCCTCCAAAGGCCTAGAGCGGACGTCTTTGCAGCAATATTTTTCGTCGGCGGACGGGACAGCGTTTACGGGGCCGTTCCAGTTGCAGAAGACATTCATCAATGGCACTTTGCGGTACGGGGGTACCGGAAGGAGTTCGCACCATGTCTCCAAAGGCATAGAACGGACGTCTCTGCAGCAATATTTTTCGTCCTGCGCATTCAGCCCGCCGACGCGACAGCGTTTACGGGGTCGTTCCACTTGCAGAAGACATTCATCGATCATCAATGGCACTTTGCGGTACGGGAGTGCCGGAAGGAGTTCCCACGCATGATGATGATGTCCCCAAGGCAAAGGCCTAGGCTAGAGCGGACGTCTTTGCAGCAATTCTTTTTGCCCTGCGCATTCAGTCCGCCTACGCGACAGCGTTTACGGGGCGTTCCAGGTGCAGAAGACATTCATCAATATCAATGGCACTTTGCGGTACGGGGTACGGAAAGGGGCCTCCTCGTTCGACTTCTGCAGTTATCCTTCCCGTCATGCACGTCAGCAGTCAGGGGTACCGAAAGGGGCCTCCTCCGAAGTCCGAGTCCTCGTTCGTCTTCGTCGACTTCTGTAGTTCTTGCAACATGCGCTCGTCGCATTGCTACCACATACGTCAACCCAGCGACACTGGAGGCGCTCGTCGCATGCAGATTAATAGCCCTTGACAAGTCGCCGGGTGTTCGACCCATTGGTATCGGCGAAGTGGCCAGGCGCATTGTCGGCAAAGCCATCCTCACTGTCACCGGGAGAGATATCCAAGATGCAGCGGGCACCCTTCAACTGTGTGCCGGTCAGGAGTGCGGCATTGAAGCTGCCATCCATGCGATGCAAGATGTCTACCGTGAGGAGGATGCGGATGCCATATTGCTCGCCGACGCTTCGAACGCCTTCAACCGGCTTAACCGTGAAGCCTGCCTACGGAACATCCGTCACCTCTGTCCCTCTATAGCGCCAGCTGTAATCAACACCTACCGCCAACCATCCCGCCTATTCGTTGATGGAGAGTGCTTGCTATCGTGCGAGGGTACCACTCAGGGTGACCCTCTGGCCATGCCCGTATATGCGCTTGGAGTCCTCCCGCTCATCAAGAAAGTTGCAGTGCCTGGTGCAAAACAGGGCCGGTATGCGGACGATGCTGCAGCCGGTGGCAAGCTAACGCCTGTTCGCCAATGGTGGGACAATCTCGTCAGCGACGGTCCTGGGTATGGCTACCACTGCAATGCCCAGAAGTCACTCCTCCTGGTCAAGCCCTCCAGGTACGCAGCTGCTATC